AAAACTAGACCAGGAGCTGACTGTATAGAGCTTCTCCATCTTTGGCTGCAGAGCACATAGTCAATCTGATTTCTGTGTTGACCGTCTGGTGATGTCCATGTGTAGAGTCGTCTCTTGGGTTGTTGGAAAAGAGTGTTTGCTATGACCATCGTATTCTTTTGACAAAATTCTACCAGCCTGTGCCCTGCTTCATTTTGTATTCCAAGGCCAAACTTGCCTGTTATTCTGGTTATCTTTTGGCTTCCTACTTTAGCATTCCAATCCCCCACGATGATAAGGACATCATTTTTGGTGTTAATGCTAGAAGGTGTTGTAGGCCTTCATAGAACTGGCAACTTCAGCCTCTTCAGCACCAGTGGTCAGGGCATAGACTTGGACTATTGTGATATTGAATGGTTTGCCTTGGATTCGAATTGAGATCATTCTGTCATTTTGGAGATTGTATCCCAGTACTGCTTTTCCTACTCTTTTATTGACTATGAAGGCTACTCCATTTCTTCTGAGGGATTCTTGCCCGCAGTAGTATACCTGATGGTCATCTGAATTAAATTCACCCATTCCTGTCCATTTTAGTTCACTGATTCCTAAGATGGTGATGTTCAGTCTTGTCATCTCCTGTTTGACCACATCCAACTCGCCTTGATTCATGGAACTTACATTCCAGGTTCCTATGGAGTATAGATCTTTACAGCATCGGACTCTCCTTTCACCACTAGATGCATCTGCAACTGAGTGTCCTTTCAGCTTTGATCCAGTTGCTTCATTCTTTCTGGTGCTACTAGTACTAGCCCTCTGCTCTTCCCCAGTAGCATATTGGACACCTTCCAACCTGAGGGGCTCATCTTCTGGCATCTTATCTTTTTGCCTTTTGGTACTGTCCATGGGGTTTTCATGGCAAAGATGCTGGAGAGGGTTGCCATTTCCTCCAGTGGGTCATGTTTTGTCAGAGCTCTTTGCTATGACCTTGGGTCTTGGGTGGCCCTGCACGGCATAGCTGATAGCTTCATTTAGCTATGCAAGCCCCTTCACCAAGACAAGGCAGTGATCCATGAAGAAGTGTTTCTGTTAGTGCAATTTAAGTTAGCCATATTGTTTCATTGGATACTGCCAAATGTCTTTTAGAAAAATATATTCACTTCTATCCATTTATGTATTTTTAAGAAACTGATTTATGGCCATATTTATTGATTGACTTCTGAACTTCAAAGCAGTAATCAAAGCCTCCTCAATGGCTATAGTTTTACAGAGATTAATATTTAAAAGACTTCCATGGAAATTTGCAAAGAACTGACAAGTTTACACTTACGGATTTTATAACCCTTAACTGTGCAGGCCAGGCTAAATGCTTGAATCACCCAACAACTGTTGTGAAGTAAGGAATGGATGTAGCCACATGCTCCTATCTGGAATAAAAGAGGGGGAAAATACATATTTTTCTTAGTCTTGATCTCTCTTGAGTAATATTGCACCATGCAATAATTTCTCCTATAACTGTTTTAATAGTGTTGCCACTGAAACAATTTATTGCTCTCTATGTTATAAACTTAAGCTGAAACGACAGGTTTTTTATTCACTCCAAGGCCCATCATACAAGTTTTCCCATCTTGCCTACTTTTTGCACCAGTTAGTGCTCGTAAGAGGTACAATGAATGTCTGATCGCCACTTTTTACATGATAAATAACTGGGAACAAGAGGGGACTTGTGTTAAATGCTGCCATAACAAGAACACTCTTGCACAGGGCAGTTCACAACTTGGAGTGCTACTTGGTGGTGCTGTGGGAGCAGGCTGAACTGCAAAAACAGCAACAAGAGATGCCGCCACCCTCTTCCTCTCTCCTCTCCTCTCCTCTCCTCTCCTCTCCTCTCCTCCAGCCAGAAACCTCCCCACACTTTGCTATATAGAGCCTTAGGACAGGAGCTGGCTGCCAGATTTGACATTCAGCAGTCCAGGTTTCTGGAGAATGAGAAAGAAGAAACAAAAAAGATAGATCATGGAAGACCCGACAGAATACCACGATACTGAAAACAAAAAGTTTCTAAAATTCTTTTATGTTGTCCTGTGTAATTTTTACAGGATGCGGACACAGTGTTTCTAACTCAGAGGCAAATATTTAAGGCTAAAGAATGGGACACTTACTGACAATATATTTTTCATTGTAATCACAAAGACGTTATAAGCTATCAGCCAGTCCCAATAGCGGAGGATGCTTCTGATAGGTTTGAGCAACAGATCTCCTCCAAAGAGTAGGAAGTAAAAGCAGGCTACTAGGTAGCCCATACAAAATATACTGATCCGAGTGGTTCCTGTTATAAAGATGATGGTGAGAACAAACCAGAAGAGGTAACTAAATGTTATCACTTTACCCATATCCAGATAGGATCTGTAGCAAAAGAAAATAAGAGTGAAATATGTCAACTCTCAATTCACTTTTTTGTGTTTAATACATTTTGTTGGCAAATATTTCATATATCATTCATGTTAGCCAAGGAACAACATATTTGGATGCGGTAGTAGGCAATAATCTATACAGTGGTACCTCAGCTCACGAACGCCTCAGTTCATGACCAAATCGGGTCACAAACAAAAATTTCATAAAAATTTTGTCTCAGGTTGCGAATTCTGCATTGGGTGGTGACTGTTATTGTGGCTATCTCCCCATCCCCAGTGGGGAGATTGCCCAGTGGGGAGATTGCCGCAATCATGCTGGGGGTGGGGGGGGGGAATGGCCAATCTCACACCCGTCTTTCCTGTACGAGCGCAACCGCAATCTCGGCCATCTACCTGCTCAGCATGATCGCGCCCGTCTCTCCCCTCAAGTGCACCTGCATTCACACCCATCTCTCCCCCGGTGCACCCACGATCGCGCCCATCTCCCCCCGCCCCAGCGTGCCAGGATGACGGACACATGCAGGGATGATGGGCACAATTGCGGTCATGCTGGAGGTGGCGGGGGAGATGGTTGCGATCTTAGTTGTTCTTTGTCACTTTGCTTCACATTTTTCTGATTAAAAAAATAGTTACAGAACAGATTAACCTTGCATAGAACCTTATGGGGAAATTTAACTTGGCTCATGAGCAGAGTCCTGAAACAGATTAAGTTCATGAGCCAAGGTACCACTGTACTGGCAAATCTAGAATTATTGATTTGGATCCTAATGTCCCATGAGCAGACTTCCACTTGTGGGATGCTCCTTCTGGAGAACACTGGGACAAGAGGATATCATTTCATCCTGGAGGCTTTATGCCCTGCCACCCCCCAAGTGCACGCAAGGTTCTGGGTCCTTCCAGCACAAAAGCATTATGTGGCATGTGATGCTGGTGCGGGGCATTGGGGGAAGCACTGCCAAGTCTACCTCTTTTGCCAGTGGAAACTGCACTGGGTCAGATACCCTTCTATAAATGGAAGGAGCACTTCCATTTGCGGAAGGAATACTCAGCATGGTTTATGCTGTTCTTAGCTGTAACAATATAAACCCAATTCTTATTTTCTTCATTGGACCCTTTCAGATTTTTAAAATTACAACTCCCATCAGGTCCAATTGGCATGCCCAATAGATGGGATAGCTGAGAATGATGAGACTTGTCATCCAGCATATCTGGAGGGCAGCGGGTTTGGAAAGGATCAGTTTGGTACTAATGATAGAAGTGATGCTATTATCTGTTATCTAGACATGGGTAAGTAAAAGGCCAGGCACTGGCCATGTGCCTGGGGAGCTCTGCCCAAGAGATTAGGAAAGGAGGAGAGAAGCACATTGCAGAAAGGGAGTTATTTAGGTAAGACTGTTTTCCCATTGCAGATGAATTGAAATTAGTATAATCGAGTGGTTGCTCTTTTGACTGCAACAAGCTTGCCTTTCTTTACTCTGGGGGTATGTGTACAAAACATTTGTTTGAGTCCTCCAATGTTATCGTACAGTTTTGACCCAGCTAAATTCAGAGGCCACAAAGAGCCTTTGTGAAGACATTATGAGGACTGAGAACAAATGAAGCAGAGACATTGCCACTTATTCAAGATCTAGCCCTTACCGGCAATGAATAAAATCAGGGACAGGATTATGTTGGCTAAAGGAAGCTGCATCAAGGTTCATACAGATCTCCACATTGTCTCCAGCCATGATACGTACAGCAGCCTTGTTCTCATCTTCAAATGTCTGCCTTTGTAGGGATGCACAGAGCAGCAGCATGAAATCATCTGGCAGGAAGAAGATATCCAAATGAAAATATAGCCCAATACCTGTGATTAGCTGCATGCAAGTCTACATTCCATAGGAAATGATCTGTGGAGCAGCTCCTTTATTTATTTACAGAATGTGCAATAGCCTTCTTCAAATACAAAGTCATCAAGGTGGTTGGTGCATATTAAACCATAACTTTATTAAAACCAAACAAAACAAACCAAGCAAACAGATATAAGGAACACAAATGACTAGTGAAATAGCAGTGCTGCAGCAGTGGTGGAAAAGCAGAAACAGATGCAGCTCACAAAAGCATGAAAAACACATGAGCTACCTAAAGCAGTAATAATCCTTAGCTCATATCTATAATATCTATCTTCTTCTTCATCATCATTACCACCACCACCATCTAAGAAAGCCTTCCATAACCTGGTGGCCTTCAAAAGCATTTGGACCACAACTCCCATAATTACCATCCAGCAGGGTCATTGACTGGGAAGTCTGGGTGTTGCATTCCAAATGTGCCTGGAAGGCACAAAGTTGTGGAAGGCTGATTAAGGAGTCTGTTCACTCTGGACTACCAAATTCCTTGTATACCAACAGGGGTTGGTAATTCAACTGATGGGAATGATGATAATGCTGATGTTGGACTTCCTGGCAGCGTTCCCACTGCAGGCCATGCAGGGTCTCTCCTAGTTTAAAGGACCAAGCTTTGGGGAGGCTGGAAGCTGAGCTGCAGTTAAGCTGATAGTGAATTCACTGTGTGTGAATACTAGAATTGGGAAAACACCCCCTCATCCCCTCCCATGTCTTGACATCCCTGAAACAGCAGCTGTGTTTCCCAAAGTATCACAGATGAATTGGTTCATTAATGAGCCAATAATGGACATGGGAAATTAAGGATACCTCATGGGTACTCTGGCTGGGGTGGAAATATAACAATTGGGTAAGTGAGTATTGGCTTGTCTTTGGAATATCCATGGAGGCAACTCCTTTTAATTTAATCAGAGGACAGATATAGGTAATTAGGTATTAGCTCCACTGCTGAGATCTGGAGCTCTTTCATAACTGGCAGATTTCAAGCCTCCTGTGCTTGCTGCCTTTCTCAAAGCAAAACAGATAATTTAGAGAGGGTACCAGCGGGGTGCCAATAGAAGTATATATAAAACACAAATACACACAAATGTAAGCCATCATGGCCAAACTGCTCTGTAACACTACATATAGTTGTGCCAAGATTTCTGGAGTTTTTTTTTTTACTAATTTGCAGAAGTATCTGTCTACAGCAATAAAATAAGATATAAAACATCTCTTGATGCAACTGGAAGCACAACTGGATCAAAATTACTTTTTTGTAGTGTTTTGTCAATACACAGCTGTGCTTCACTAATGTAGAGAAGGGACAGAATATTCAAATGAAGAGAAGACACTGGAAGGGACTGATTGTGTGTGTTCCAATATTCATTTTAGAACCGTATTAAGTTCCAAGTACAGGGAATCTCTTCTATGGCCTGCCAAGTCTCCCTCTAAATTTTCTTTCTTGGGTGTCAACATGCATACTGATTAAGATTAGCAATAAGATACTGATGCCCATCATGCACACCCTAGTCTATTTTAGAACATTAACTGAAAATGCATTGCAAAGGAGACAAAGGGATAAAACAGCATTATGGATGCATTAAAATACTTACAGACAAGAAAGACTGCATTTGGTTTAACAATAAAATCAGGAAAGTATAACCATTTGATGATATTAGAGTTGAAGTTGGCATTAGGACTTCTCCATGGATAATCTAGAAAGGCAGAAACAAGAACAATTACAGCAAGTCATTCACATCTCCTTTCCATATTTGTTTGGCATTTCAATATTACTGTCAAAGCAAAAGGTAATCACAATCTGCAGAAGGAACAAAGTATCCTTACCTTTACAAGGAGCAGGGGGAATGCCAATACAAATGAAATACTGAAATGTAATGATGCAGGATAGAAAGCAGCAGTACTTTGGCCAGATTTCTGCAATGGCTTTTCTTCTCCGTCGATACAAAACAGCAATTAAGGCAAAGGCATGAATCATGGCATAGAAATCCATTCGTTGACCAATTACATTTACTGCCAGTAGGAAACAGCTCTGGATGACAAGACAAACATATAGAATTACTTCCTTTTGGATGGCCCTTGATAGATATATTACCTTCATTCTCAGAAATTCTGTTAAGTTAGACAGTAACACTTTGCTTGCCCCCATTGAAGTTCTCAGTTCTCTCTCAGCCAATATACTTTCTATGAGCACTGACAATTTTAATGTATTAAAGCTTGTCTGTGTGCAAAGTGAAGAGATAAACCCACTGCTAAAAGTTCTGATTCTATGCTTGTTAGTAATCTCTTGATATACATTTGCAAATCTAATGCAGATTAAGGAAGCAGGGTTATTATCTCAAACTTCTCAGAAGTGGAAGGACTCTGAATACAGGATTCTGAATGCACAGAGGGCTTTGTACAAACAGGTATCTGGACTTCATTCTTGCCTTTTAACCACACCTTTGGAAGATCCGAGAGATGGAAGATAAAAGATGGCTTCCTACCAAAACAAACTTAGAACACTTTGATTTAAAAATTAAAGGTAACTGTATCTCTCAGCAGCCCTAACATTTCTACCATTTCTACAAGGCTGTTGTACTCTTGTCAAAATACCAAACTATAATCAAAGCCCCCTAGCTTGCTGTCATATATTTAGATTAAGAAATTAGAGCACACACCTAAGCATGTTTAGACAGACAAAAAATCTAGGGAATCCTGGTAGCTGAATGACTTCTTAATCTAAACATGCATAGGATTGCACCCTTAATGGCAGAAATTTCTTAACCTGGAGCCAGAACTAAGTACATATCACATTGGTTCCCAGTCAACTCACTCCTGGGCTCAATGAAAGTGAAAGCCCATCTTGGCTTGGGAACAGAGAACCTGTCTTCACAATTGCCTGAAAAAATCAATGTGGAAGAAAAGCCCCAAGTGCAGAGGAGAAAGGTTTTATTATTGCCTCATCATTTTGAAAATCTAGATTTTCTTCTTCAGGACTAATAATCACCTGTTTGTTACAAAAACGGAATCTACATTTCTGAATAATGTAGGGCAATAGCAAAACAAGTTTTATTTTGCACTTGGAACTTTCTCCCTACTTTTTCTCAAGTTGCTTTCTCCGTCACACATGTGCCTTACATGCCTGTTTGCTCATCTTTGTATTTCCTGCCCGTATACTAAGGCCTTTGTCAGAGCCTCCTCTCCATGTTTATTTATGTATCATATCACTATACCACCCATTAGCCTGAGCTGTCCAGCCAGATCACAAGAATCAAAACTCTGTAATACACTGATAAAATATAAAAGTTAAAGTTAAAAACTACAGTATACAATAAAAACTAGAAGCAATTCAAACATTTTGATACAGTAAAGGTAAAGGTTTCCCCTTGACATGAAGTCCAGTCATGCCTGACTCTAGGGGGCGGTGCTCATCTCCATTTCCTAGCTGAGGGAGCCAGCGTTTGTCCGCAGTCAGTCCCCGTGGTCATGTGTCCGGCATGACTAAACACCGAAGTGCACGGAATGCTGTTACCTGCCCACCGAAGTGGTAGCTTTTTATCTGCTTGCATTTGCATGCTTTCAAACTGCAAGGTTGGCAGGAGCTGGGACAGAGCAACTGGAACTCACTCCGTTGTGCAGATTCAGACTGGCGACCTTTTGATCAACCAGCCCAGCAGCACGACAGATTAAACCACTGTGCCACCTGCAGTCCCTTTTTTGATACAATAGCAGATTTAAATTGGCAGAATCCAAAAGACTAAAATACCTCGAGTGTTTGCCTTGCCCCTAGATGAGCACAATGTAGGACCAGAAGAGGCAATGTAGGAGAGGAGAGGCATTCTGGGCAGCTCATTACACAACTGCGGGGAGGGGGTCATAACAGAAAAGGTCCTCTTTTAGTAGCTATGCACTTCACTTCACTTGGCAGAAACTCTCAGAAAAGGACTGACAAGGATGATCTCATGGTCTGGGCAGGTGTATATATAAGAGGAGAGAAACCTTCATGTAGCCTGTCCCCAGCCCAACAGTAGAAGTTTTGAATTGGGCCCAGAAATGTACTAGCAAGTGGTTCAGATGGAAAAAAAAATAGTAGAATATGATCATACTGGCCAATAATCTTGCTACCCTATTTTGGACCAGCTGAAGTTGCCAGACCTCTTTGCAAAGTAGCACCATGTATAACATGCTGAAGTCATCCAGTTGAGAGGTTATGAGAGCATGGACAACTGTAGCTAGGCTCACTCTACCTAGATAAGGATAGACCTGGTATTTCAGCATAAATTTATAAAAGGCCCTTGGTGCCACCAAGTCTACTTGTGTCTGAGAGAGTACGGGATCCAAGAACACCCTTAAGCAGCTGATCTGATCCTTTGGGGAAGTGCAACCCATTCCAGAACAGGCTAACAACTCCTGTCATTTGAGGGCTTTTTCGTCCTGGTACCCAGATAGTATGATGTCTCCCCAGAAAGTTTGTCTAGCACTTAATCTAATGTCATTTGGGCACCTGTTCATTTTCTCAAGATTTAATTTGATGCTTTTTATCTTAGTTGAGTTTGTGCTTCTAATATGGCTCCAACTGACCGATCTGTATGTTTTTGATTACACTGACTTTATTCTGAAATTTTGCAAGCAGCCTTAAAGGACAGGGTATATATTCTAATGTAAATGAATAATAAATAGATATGTTCAAGATGTTGCCACTGTGGAAATTACTGTTGACATATGCTCATGCTGAATTTACCTCCAAACCAAACTTGTAGAAGAAGTAGTTTATGAAGTATTTAAGACAGCTAACTACTCCATCATCCAAATGTAATCTGGTAATATCATGAAAAATTGTTCTGGTCTCAGGTGCAGTGAGATTGTTTCGGCATCTGTAGTATTCCTGATGTCGGTAAATAGTAACTTCAAAGGCCAGAATTGCCAGCATCAATAGGTTATTCTGGAAAAGAAGGAAAACACCATGAGAGCCACACACAATCAAGTGATGTTCTGTTGAAAGTGGGCCTCCTGCAACTTGCAACAGATGCCCTAAAGCAATTTGTACAAAATCTTCTCTGATACCTGACCGAAAAACAGCTATGGAATGTTACCACATTGACTATTTTTGGATGTAATAGGATATTTCAAAAAATCAGATTACCACAAATGAGCTACAAGCTTGGCCATGTGAAAGATCTTTCCTTCTTCCTCTGCATTTCCAGCAGGCGTGGCTGCACAAGCCAGAGGAATTCTTCCCTAGCAATTTGTGGTGGTTATTGTTATTGCTGTTGCTGCATGTATAACCCACCTTTCTTCATCCTGCAAAAGATCTAGGATGGCTTTCAAGGTTCTTGTCCTCTCCAGTGCATGATCACTGCAGTCCGCAGTGGGTTGTTTAAATCATGGTGGGTTGTGGTGTGTGCTGCACAGCTCTGGAATGTTTTGGGGTTTAGTAACCTTGTCAGTATCCCATCCTCACCAGTTGCACTACCATACACTTTTTGGGCTACATGTTCATGCAAAGTGTCCCAGTGTTAAAAGGGATACAGCAGGTACAATGATTGTGCTGTTCCCATCTTTTCCTGGCAAGCCCCTCCCCACTCAAAGATAAGCAGAATTCCTTCATGCTCCCTGGAAAAGACTTTGGTAAGAAAATAAGTATGAATTACCCTCAAGTATACAAGCAGTGGATAAGACTTTTTTAATCCAACCCACTCAGTTGGATCAATGGGTTTTCTGTAGAGAATTGATTCGTTCAGACCTTCTTGCTTTTCAGATGCATTGGGCTTAAAAAAAAAGAAATCAATGTTAGTTCTGGTGTCTTCTGGTGGGTAAAACTACATCTGAGGTTTGTCCTGCATCTAAACCTAAGTAAGCCAGGTGTCTGAAGGGGGCTTCCTGACTAGCAAGTGCTTTACAAATTTTCCTTTAAGGCTGATGCACCTAACACTCAGGATTAAAAGACTAGTAACAAGCATACATGGGAAAAAAATCAATGATGTTGAGAAATTGGAAAGAATTCAGTGGAGGAGTAAATGATTTTGAAGACAACAACAGGAGGGAAGACTGGAAAAACTGTATATAACTAAGAAAAGGAAAGTGAGTTTGCTGAGGCTTAGCACCTGAAAAAATATGAAGCCAAATGGAACAAACAGAACGGGTGTTCTTTCTGGAGAAAAGCACCCTCCCAGTTGCATTACTGGACAAAAAGACAATAATCAGGGAACATTATTTCTGTGGTTACTCCTATGTCAGCCAGTTACAGAGATGTCCAGAAAGTTAGTCCTATGTGAATAGGGCTCTTTATCCATTGCAGCTTTTATTCTGAGCTTTATAGAAGCTATCCAGGATGCAGAACTCCACCCCCAAAATAGTTTGCCTGCCACGGTGCACCATGGGTAGCTCCTACAAAACTCAAATAAAGGCTGCAATTGGTGTGGTTGCAGTAGATAAGGAATCTTACAGCACAGGAGTCACCTGCTTCCCTGACAATCATTACCTTCTGAAGAAGGTAGTAGGAAAAGAAGAAGAGGACAAGGCCAAGGCCAAGTATGCTTTTCATCTCTCCTGCCTGAGAGGCTATTTTCTGATTTGTGCTGCAATACTTGGCACACTCTCCAGGGAATAAGTCCCATTGGACTGAAGAGAACTTACTTTTGAATAGCCATGTCTACATTACAGCACTATTTGCTTTTTTAAAAGTTATACTAGCTAGTACCTACCATTGTGCAGTTGACAGAAAATGATGCAGGATTGATCGATTCAAGCTGGTACAACATTTTGCAAATGATAATCACACAAGTCCAGACAGTGCAGATACTAGATGCCAGTGGGCGGAACTGAGAATATGGCAAAGCAAATGCCCAGGCGATCAAAAACACATAGTTAAGGAGAGATACCTGTTAGCACAAAATAAGAAAATACAATATACTTATTAGATGACAACTTCAGCAGAGCTTTTATTATGAAACCTCATGGTAAACCGTATTTCTTTACAATTTAATGACATAAATGATGGATAATTCTCATCCCACTCTGAGCTTGATTTGGAATTCCCTGAAGACATAAATAGAGCCAAAGAGCATCCAACATCTTCCCTGAGTCCTGGTAGCCTGGTTGTCCATTTGCCAAGCCTGCCTAGCAGCCAGTGACACCATAATGTGTACTGCTGCTTTTCCCCTTGGGCGCAAGAATTCTTTGTGAGGCTGTAGCAGCTTTCTAGCACACGTTTCATGACATCAAGGTGTACACCCAGAATGGGAGTACTCAAGTTTAATTTCAGTTAGGGATAAAGTTTAGGGAATTAAACCAAATTCACGCTAAAATGTGTTCAGAGGAAGGATTTGATGGAAAAGAGAAATCCTTAGACATTCCAGGGTTTTTCAGCCGAGGAGAATGGATGGATTTGTTTAAGATATAAGCTAAGCTGATCAGCTGTGACCATTGGCAGGGTAAAGATTATAGAAAGATGTAAAAAGCTTAAAAAGCAAGGATACACAACTAGTTGCCAAAGAAGATATTCCATAATGGTCATTTCTAACCTGACATTTTCTGAACTAATTGTGGATCAATATATCAGGAGAGCATAGGCTTAGAGAAGGCTGGTCTAAATGATATAAGAGGTGACTATTTTAAGCAGTGGCATTTTTAGATAAAATTGAAAATGCTAAGGTTTAAGAAAAGAGAACAAAGGAAAAGAATGTTGCAGCAGCAACACGACCAGAGCATGAGCTAGAATTATATCTAAGATGATGAGGAGAAAAGGGTGGCTTTTTGTACTAACATATTAATGTAACAATTTGGACAGTTTAGTTTAGAATATGGGGAGTCCTTCCATTTTTATAAATAAAAGAACTCCCCAATGGTTTTATTTGCATTGCAGTATGCATGCCAAGTGTCAGAATATCATTTACTTTTGAAATTTTCCAGTGCAAGATGTTCTTAGTGTAATGAACATTTGGAAGTCTGAGTGAATTTTCACAGGTTCTCTTTAAGGATAAGCCTAGCTCTTCACACCATTTAGTGAGAAAGTGGGATACAAATTTTACAAACAAACAAACAAATAAATATATATGAGATGATCAAATATCACATTTTAAATTAAAAATCTTGAAGCGATAGGTTTCTAATTAATTTTTTTGGTGTAAATATATTTCAGTTCCAGTATTAAAAGACTGCTTCAAGTTGACAGCTTTGGTAGATAGAAATAGACAGAAAAAATATCTCAAAATGGCTCATTATGAAACTTTTAGATTCATGCATTTCAGTAGACAAACTAGTTAAATTATTCTGTAACACTGATACTGAAAGAGAAATTGATTGGAACATTTATTATTTACTTGCCTCTTTTACTGTGACCCAAATAATATATGATGAAACAATTTTGATTATGTGCAGCTCCAAAATCCACCACACGAAAACTTGCAGCTTATGAAAGCATTCCAGGAACTTCAAGAAAAGTACAGTGAGGCGGTCAATTACCAAATGCCATTTGTTTCTTAAATCTGCAAAGACAAGGTAGATCCAATGATGAAGCATTAAACACTTTTGTGAACAGGGCACTCTTGTTGAAAAGATTAACATTCTGTGAATGGACATTTTTAGTTGGAAAGATGAACACTGGTAACCATTTTTTAAAATACAGCTTTTCTTTCTTAAAATAATACCAATAAAAAGATGTTAAAAACAGCTGAGTATTTCTTTTTACTTAAGGCCAAATGTCTTCTTTGATATTCAGTTAAGGTCATTAAAAGATCTCCAAGGTGGCATTTCTCTTGCTGAAGTATTTATTCCATATTGTATTACAACAGGTATGACTGGTTTTGAGACAAGTTACTTCAGAGCATTGACTGCTACGAATTCCACTCCTTCCTACAGATTTGTTTTACACTCAATATTTATCAGACACACATTGCTCAAATCAGGCAAATAAAACAGTCTCTGCAATTTACCAACAAAATGTCCTTCACTGGAGAGTGGGACGGAGGGTGAGAGAAGAAAATGTGGATAGGGAGAACTCTCATTTCAAGGGTCTTTGGAAACTCAGGGCATCTGTATGTGTTGACACACAGCAGGAGTTCTGCTTCAGTGAGGATTACATGCTAAATGAAGTATGCAACATGCAACAGAACCTCATTTTCACTTTTATCTCCAAGTAATTACATGGGGTCCAGTAATTAATCTGTCTCTCCTTCCCAACATGCAACTCCTCTTGCTTGATGAATAACATGGCCAGGCAGCAGAGATACCAAAACTGGCATTTCTCCACATTCCAAGCTGGCTTTGCTGCTCCACTTTTCCCACTCCATGACTCACCTTATGTTAAAGAGGCACTGAAGAAATCATTTGGAATATATATGGCCATGATCTCCTAGGCTCACTTGAGGATGGTTCACTTTGAATCCCCGGGGATTCAATCCCTAGGGCTGCCTAACCTCTTAGAAATGCTTGGTTTCATTATGATTTGGTTTCTGGGTGACGAGAAGAGTGAATTCTGGATGATGGTGGGTTTGAAGGGCTTCACCCTTCTCCATTGGTTTAAGGATCTGGATAGGGAAGATTTAAGGTCTATACATGTTTAGACAGAAAAAAGTCTTAAAACTCTCAGCATGTCCATCCAGCCAGGACTTTTTTCTCTCTAAACTGACACAGGACTGCACCCACAGCAAGCTAGGTTGAGATTTTATTTTATTTCATTTTATTTTATTTCAAAAGCAACTATTTCTGAACTTTAGGTTCTGCTTGGTTCTTTAATACATATATTGAACTGGGCAATGCCATTGATGATCACTGATTTGATCGACCTGCCTAACATGAAGGATGTCCTTATCTGTGGGCTGGATTATTTGGCAAAAACTCTGATCGGATTGTTCAAGAGCTTAAAGGAAACTCTGAAAAAGGGCCCTGTCCTTCTCCACATATGAAAACATCGATCCTCTTTTCTGACATGGACAGTAAAATAGAACAAACAAGATGGTGGTGCTACCTGTAAGTGATATAGGTAAAAAGAGTGTTTTGTAGCCTGTGCTACTTTGCAGGGTTGGTGGTCCAAGCACATGGGCCCCAGTCTACAGCAGGACCACCATGCATGTGTACAGAAAGTTTATACCTTCTCACCCAGCTGCTTTTCCTTTAAATTGTATTCCACCCTCACCTGCTACTTGCTGGCTAAAAAGAGAGGAAGTCCAATGGCACCAGTTGTGCTCCCTTCCTTTTCAGCCAGCTCATGTGGAAGCAGGAACAATTATGGGGGGAAGATCCTGCTTGAGAAACTTTACACTTGCCAAGCTGAGCATAATAGTACTAATATAGATTAGCACCTCCTGCACTTTCTTGAATGAAAGATGTGATTGAGGCTCAGTGGCAAGTTATCTACATGATGTAGCATGGAGTTTAGCCCTGGGCAGCAGACCAAGTGAAATGAATAGCAATCATACATTCATCTGAGGGAAAGAAAGTGGGTATATTTGAGAAACTAAACCTGCTTCCCAAGCCTTTACCTGAATGGCTGCATTACCTAATTAATGCACATACTAATATAACATATTTTCACAGTCATTCTTATGCTAGATTTTTCCTCTTTTTTTGCTCAATGAGTGTTATATCCATGATGTCAGAAATAAGTAATTTGAGAATTGGTCATTTACATCATTATAGGTATTCATCCTTTCTAAGGCAGTAGTATGATTTGTGAAATTGCTTTGGTCTATTAAATAGCAGCATAGATATGGAAAGGGGATTACCTGAAATAACTAATAAATATTAAACAGCAAAATTGGAAATCATGTATACACAACAAAATTTAAAATCATGAATAAATAGCTCAGATCAGATTACACCAGAAAATAGTCAAAGACTATAAGGAAAGCTATCAGTAAAGATTTGTGGTTATCCACAGGAACAGACACTAAGGCAAAAGGTAACACACTCTCCACAGTGTACCTGATAAGTCTTCTGTCTCCGACTCATCATCATCTTCTTCATGATCCACTTCCTCCTCCTCTTCTTCCTCCTCTTCATCATCTTCCTCTTTTCCATCCTCCTCCTCCTCTTCCTCTTGCTCTCTCTGTTCCATTATGCTTTCTTCCTGCTCGTGCAACATTTCCCCCTGCTCCTGTAATATTTTTTCCTGCTCTCTAAGCAGTTTTCCCTCTTCCTTGACCATGCGGGGATTTAAATCCATGATTGTGATATCTGGCAGGCTTCCATCCTGGTGCACCAACCTATTGGTAGAGAAGGCAGGCATGTCAACCAGCTAAGAAGTTGCAATGCTACATACAATCAATCTTGCAATTTTGAATAGCAAAACAAATTAGGAAGTTCATGAATACATGATCAAGCACTGTTCAGAGAATGGAAACTCCACACCATAGTAGCAATTATTTTTCCATTTTGATGCTAATTATTTGCATTAGTAATCAGTGATAGTGATATTGCCACCTAAACTTGACATTTCCCTCACAGAGGAAAAATGGACAGAGTTTAAGATGTAGAAGCATGAAATGACATGTTGAAACAGCAAGCATTTCATGACTTCACCTGGGGACTTACTCATTTTGGCGGATTGGTAATTTTTTCTTGATGCTGCTCAAAGTAATTGAAACAGAAAGAAAAAAAGGACATGAGAACAGAGGAGTTACAAAAGAAGGTCATAGATAAAGACATCATGCTATATATCTCACTAGCATTCTCTTAATCCATCTGTGCAGCCTTCAGAAGCAAGGAGCATGCCAACCTGGAATTAACAGGATGCTTCTATTAAGATGGAAAGTGTATATTACAGTTCGAAAGAAATGTCTAGTTAATCAGTCTTACATTATGCACGTGGGAATTCTGTCAAGTAACCTACAGAAACCCTACTCTGAATATATCTTCATCTTTTTAAAAAGCAAATGCTGGTGTATTGGATTCATAAGTATATTTTTTCCAAGTGCAAAGAGATAAGCACAGGCAAGCAAAACTTCTGTGGATGCAGCCAAAAACGGTAGCATGACATTTTGAAACAGCTTTCTTAGTGATATTTTCAAGAATTCCATAGCAAAGGTGCGTATAAGGAGTTGAAGACAGGACTTAGGTGGATCATTTCAATGAAGAAAATTGAAGTATCATAAAAGTCGTCTTCTCTTAGAGAAAAGGGGTTGTTTGTCCAGTTTTAAAGTTACATGAAATCTTTCACTGTTACTTATTTTTAACATAAGTAGAAATAAAAATGCCATACTGATGACAACACATAACTCTCTGATACAAATCTCAGTCCAAAAATATTCCAGTCAGGTATGGACAGTCCCAGATTAGTTTCAAGGTCTAAAAGAAAGTTTAGACTGGAACACAGGAACTTCAGGTTCAGTTTTGATACAAATTTCTGTAGCATTAAATATATTTGATGTTTTACTCTGATTTCCAATACTGAATACAATATTTAGAGAGTAGCTAATGGCCACAGATATTTAAAGGGCTAGGATGTTCAGAATAAGTAGTAGAAGCATATGCAAAATCAGGTAAATAATTAGGTAATGCATTAAAAGAAATATTCAGGGATCAAATAATTTATTCATGTATTTTTGTTTGGTTTTTAAATAGGCAATCTGCCCTTCATTTACCATCTGACACAGTGCCACATAGTTGTAGTTTATTATTTTACTCAATATTTTATGCGACTCCTAGCTTCAACTTTTGCAAGACACTGTTACAGAAACAAGACAAAATTTGGCTCTAATGCAGCAATGATAAACTTCATGCAAGCTGTCAAAGCACAAAAGATCCTACAATGTATGCACAATTTTATTAAGCACTCTCATAAAAACTTTATATGGTAAATAGTTTGATATTTCCCAGAGTGAAAAATGTTTTCTAAATATTCTTCAGTGTGTTTATGATTACAACTCTAATCTAGAAATAATCATGAGGGAGTGGGCTTGCACATAATTAGCTCAAGTTTTTCCACTTGAGAAAAAATCACTGCCTCCAAGAAATCTTCTAGTGCTTGTATCTTTGGGGAAGTTAGTGTCCCCTTGCATAGTAGACTCTAACAATGAGACAAATATTTACCTTTAATTAAGTAATTAATTTGATTTATATCCCACCTTTTTCTTTTTTAAAGAATTCAAAGTAGCTCACATCATCCTCCTGCTCTCAATCTTATCCCCACAACAAAAACCCTGTGAGGTAGTTTGGGCTGAGAGTCTGTGACTAGCCTAAAGTCACTCAGTGGGCTCCATGAACTAGAACCCAACATGTCTGAGTCCCTGACCCATGCTCTACACCACATTGACTTTCACTTGGCTTTAAGGCCAAGATGCTTGGATAAAGTATATTTTGCCTCCAGAGAGATTCAGAAATTTTAACTTCTCAAAAGCTCTGGCTCTGCCTTTTGAGTGAGCAGAGCAGTGAGCAGAAAGGACTGGAAACAAATTCTTCCCCCTTTCTTCTCCTTGTTGTACAGAAAAATGCTCTCTGGAGAGTGATTCATGGCTGGAAAGCTGTTCTAGGAAAATAGCATGATCTCTCTCACTCTGAAATACTGTCTCATTGCTTGTGAATGCAGAATTAATAATGTGTATTACAAGGCATGTCAGATTTTCTGGCTGAAACAAGCATTGCAGCTTCTGAGAAGTCATTGATGCATAGATATTGCCAAATCCTCTAAGAACCAATAATATTCTTCATATGTGTTAATTCCATATGATTTCCTGGAACCTGCTTTATTTATACCATACTATTATGAGAGGAATAGTGCCTTACAGAAACATGGATAGAATGGCTCTACTGAGTGCACAACTCTTTGGATCATGCCCACTATACCATTACAAGACTAAGCATTAAGCTTACTGCTATCTCCTTCCAAGTTTGCAATTATTGAATGTCTTATAAAATAGTCAAGGTGTGTGGTGACACAAAACAAAATAGTGTTTCACCATATCAGGCGAAGACCTTTTTATTCAAATGTTATTTTAATTGTTAATATTATTTATTCATTTTATTCTTTGGCCAGGGCAACTTAATTTATATTGTTAATTTATATTATTCTATTGAAGTTTATTTATGGTTGTGAGCCGCCCCATTCGCCGAAGCCTTGGGGCGGCATAGAAGTCTCCTAAATAAATAAATAAAAATAAATAAATCATGATGCATTGTGGATACACTGAATACAACAGAGCCAAGCCATGTATGAATCAAGTCATACAAATGTCTAAACCACTGTCTAATATGAATGCAGATATTTTAAGAAATATTTGCAATTAATATTTGCTGATTTTGTATTAGAAGCTAATCAACAAGCCTTTTCAGAAGTGTTTTGAGTACTGGCCAAACCAATTTCTTTTTCAATTCCCTCCTCTTTGACTCCAGGGCTTATTTCTGCCAGATATTTTATACTGGAAAAATGACTGCTAGTTGGGTTGTACAGAAGCAAGTGATGAAACATTAGATGGTAGAAAATGCAAGATTTTGCAAGATCACAAATGTCACAGTTTTACAGTCATTTCTAGATATGAAGCCATCTCAGGAAATACACAATTTCAAATATAGGAATGATGTAAGCATGGCAGTCTTTTTATTGTTTATTATTTCATATTTTATGTTCTCGTAAGAGAATGCATATTGCATTCTTTCTGAGTATTTTTGTTATTAGGGCGTCCATTTGTGAACACTTGTATAATATTTAATTTATACATGGATAATTTTGTCTTTTATGATTTGACACTATTTAATTAAAATTTTATAATCCATCTTTCCATTAAATTAATATTCAAGATGATTTAGATTTTTTAAAGTACAAAAATAAATGTCAGACTAACACATGAACAATGCAAAATCAGTTTAAAAATTGATCAAAGCGGAAAAATCTATAACCATTAAAATTCAACAAAGACTGTGATAAATAAAATCTGATACTAGAAGGTGCTAAAAAAAACGGAGAGTAAATGCATTGGTTGCCATTAGAAAGCTCTAAAAGCTTGAATATGTCAAATGTTTTAACTTCTCATGGAGTTCACTCTGGAGATGACAAGTGAGAACTCAGACAAGTCCTTATAATGTTCATTGTGTAAAGAGGCAATTTCTGCTCATGCAGTAGCATTCATCCGCTTGCAGAGTATAAAATTCACCTTTGGTGATTTGGGGGTGTGCAGGGATAGCCAGAGGGAAAAAATCCATCCTACCAGCTGTTTTTGTTCTGGTCAAAGTTGCATATAATCCAGTGTTAAGATTTAGATATCAATATTCTGTTCCATTATAGGGTCATCTATACCATTAAAGGGGCATCATTAAATGTAGGCTGTGTTACCTTGAAAACAACTTTTAAGAAGACCAAGTGGAATGGAAATTTTAAAAAATGCCTTATAGCAAAAAACTAAGTGGCACAAAACTTTGCATTGCTGTATAATTTTACTAAGTTGGAAAGGATATGTGCAAAAAAATAAAAAGGAACAAACCTAACTGGGACAGACATGAATATGTCAGTTAAATCTACACAAGATTAAAAGATGTGTTTTGATATGAATGTTTGCTTTTACTTCTCAATCTATTAATTTGATCACTTCCAAGGCACAATATTGAATAATCAGCAATTGACCTTATTTCCAACTTAAGTTATTGATAGCAATACAGGCAAAAAAAAAAAAAGATTCAAAAATCATACAGCAATTGATTCAGTAAGAAACGCCAGCAAAATTAAGCTATGTGACAGATTAGTTTTTACTGAATCAAATAAAAAGAATGAAAGATGCCATAACATTATAAAACATATGTTTGCTCAAAGAAAATCACTCTCTAAATTTTGATAGATTGAATGGGTAATGCCATGTTTTTTTCCTGTTTAACTATTATACCTATCCCCTAAAGGACATTGAGAAAACAGGGTCCTAAGTGCCAGATATCCATAAGAGCCTGAAATTTTGGCTAATAAACTTATGATGCCATTGTCAGAGGTGATGTGGGATGATATCAATTTCTCAGCCACAGGACTGTGAAAGGCTGGTAATCCAGAGGTATGTTTGCAAACTGACCAGTTTGATAATGACATCAAATCTATAAAATATACATGTTTTCAGCATCAGCATAAACAATATAAGTCATTCCAAGTATGGCCAGCCAAAAAGTGTGTGCACTGAGGGACAGTTTTGACATTTGGCAACATATCCGAAGAAACTGAGTAACACTTTAGGAATCGTTGATGGGAAAAAAATGTGCGATTTCTTTGTTGTCTTGTTAGCAAAAGCTCTAT